ATCCTGAATTTCAGGTTGTGGAGTCTCTGGATTTTGTTATATTTCTAAGAAGTGTGTTGATGACTTCTTTCAGTAGGTAATTTGGTTGGAGTCAAATTGAAAACTCTGCCTCTTGGCTGGATATTTAAATCTCAGTTTTGTTTTTGTTTTTGTTTTTTATATTTAGACATACTACTTTGACTTTTCCCAGCGCATGTATAGTTCGGGGTCAGCCAAACATATGGATGAGGTATTTGAGCAGAATCTGTGGTTTATATTTCTGGTTTTTTAATTTCCTTGATTTTACCTTCACTTTTAAATACCTGTGTTTTCCCTGAACTTTTTTTTTTCTCATTTTTTGGTGTAGAACGACTGTGGGTTTTCCCTTGAAATTTTAGCCACTTTTATAGTGCCAATTCCAGTCTGCACTCAGAATAAAAGCCATAATAAATGAAAACTTACTCCTTTCTCATCCCTTCTGGTTCTGTAGAAACTTAGCCATTCCAGAAGCCTTATTTTACAGTATGTTCTAAAATTTTGTGGACTTTAAAAAATATTTTAATATAATAGCTCGGAGTTTTACAGTGTCATTTCATTTTATATTCAAATGCTGAATGTTTAATGATGATTAAATCTTTCCAAAGACTCCTTCAAACACTTTCCAAAATTGGATTTTTCCAGATTATATTCAGATACTGATAGAGTGATTTTACAACTTCCAAAATAGAATGCTTTTCACTTTAAGCATTTAAATTAACTAACTGCACGATTAACCTCTATTAGGATGCTAAATATGACAAAGCAAACTAAAAGTTTATGAAGCAGGTATATCAGTATTCACAAGGCTTCAATGGGAATTTTGTCTCTGTAAAGACCAAAGATTTGTGATCAATGTTGGTGGTGACCTTAGCAGAAAAATCAAGGGAATAAATTATTGTGTCAAAATTACCTTTATAGGCAATGTTTTTGCTGTCATAAGGCAATCTATGCTTCCCTTTCTTCTTATAATTGTATCAGTTTCTCATTGTTAAAGAATTCCTCATCCCAAGCTACTCTATTATTTCTGGAATTTGTAGAAAGGTCAGTGAGTCTCAGGAGTTGTGATTACTTTTTCTAGCTGACATTTATTGATCTCATTACCTTCATGCTCATATTTCAAAAACTTTTTTTTCATTCTGTTACCATTTCAAAGATGACAGAAATGCTGCAGTGCTCACTGTATTAGAACTGTATGTAATTAAAATTTGTACTCTGTGTTTCATCACAGTTTCACTGTCAGAACCATAGTATGTATTGTTTATAAATTAGAATGTTATAATTAGAATACATAATGTGCATAAAATCAATTCTGAATATATATGCTAAAATATATTTTACTTATTTTCATATAAATGAATGTTGTAAAACCTTTGGGCATAAACCTTTTGCTTGTGCTGAATGGTTCACTTGACTCTTTTGATGGCCAGTATTTAGTTTTAGATGACTGCTTTCAAAAGTTTACATAAAAAAAATTTTTGACGTTTATTCATTTTTGAAAGACAGAGATAGAGCATAAGTCAGGGAGGGGCATAGAGGGAGAGGGAGACACAGAATAGGGAGCAGGCTCCAGGCCTCTGCACTGTCAGTACAGAACCTGACGCGGAGCTTGAACCCATGAACTGTGAGATCATGACCTGAGCTGAAGTTGGATGCTTAACTCACTGAGACACCCAGGCACCAAATTTACATTTTTGCATAAGCAGTTATTTCTTATAAAAATCCTAAAGACAAAAGATAATAAAGAGATGTATGCATGAATAAAGATGATTAAATAAAGTTAGACATAAGCATAGTATACATCGCCTTACTAAGATTGAATCATAATTTGATTTATCAAATAAATATATATTTGTTTCTGAATATGTAACTCCATAGTTCCAGTCCAACTTTACTTGTCTACATAAAAAGAAAAAACTTTAGAAGGATGGTGAAAATTATTTTTTATTGAAGTCCTATTTGTGTGGAGGTAGGTGTGGGGATAGTTTTCTCTTGCCTTGTATCTGCTTAAGCCACAATTGTACTTAGGAATCTATCATTCCTATTTGCCAAGAGTTTATTTAACCAGGAATATTTAAGGATTCTATGAAAATCAAAAATAAACCCAGGCATTCATCTGTCATAATGAATCAGAAATCTAATCTATGAACCATTTTCTAGAGGTTAAGTTTTTGATTGATTAATTCACAAAGGGCCTTAATTTATGGAAGCTAATAAATTGTAGTTGATTGTTACGACCAAAATCACTGTTGGATAAATCTTCCAGTTTATGTATTTGATTTTGGTCCTTTTTTCCACAGATTTGACTTCTATTAATTCATTCCTCAGGGTTACTAATTTCTTTATTCTTCCTAACATGGGGTATGAGGTCCAAAGAAACCTGGTCTGCCTCTCACTGCAGTTCATGGCTTTGAGGACCTACTGAAACCCTTAGTTTTAAATTTTATCTATGTTTCTGATAAATTTGCAATCTCTTGCTTACTCACATCTATTTAAAGATCACTGATACACTGTATTCTTCAGACAAACCCCAGCCTTACAGTTTACGAAATACAAAGATACACAGATAATTTTGAGTTCCCCATTAGACAGGCACAAAAATATTCTGTATTGAGGGGCGCCTGGGTGGCTCAGTCGGTTAAGTGGCCAACTTTGGCTCAGGTCATGATCTCTCGGTCCGTGAGTTCGAGCCCCCCGTCGGTCTCTGTGCTGACAGTTCAGAGCCTGGAGCCTGTTTCAGATTCTGTATCTCCCTCTCTCTGACCCTCCCATGTTGATGTTCTGTCTCTCCCTGTCTCAAAAATAAATAAAACGTTAAAAAAATTAAAAAAGATATTCTGTATTGAAATCTCTACTAGCTATAATAGAATATGCTAATTTCAAGGGAGGAGTGTTTTTTTTTTTTATGGACCTTTTTTAAGGGTAAGTCTAGTATTTCCTGAAGAAAACATCTGTATGCCTTTTCTTGTAAAATATTAGTGTTTATAATTTAATGACAAGCATGTGTAAAGTTCAGAAATTCTCCTTATAATATTTGAATTCATCTACATGGCACATAATCCTAATTAAAAGAAAAGCAAGGGGCGCTTGGGTGGCTCAGTTGGTTGATCTCAGGTCACGATCTCGCGGTTCGTGACTTTGAGCCCCGCATCCGTCTCTGTGCTGACAGCTCAGAGCCTGGAGCCTGCTCTGGATTCTGTGTCTCCCTCTCTCTCTTTCCCTCTGCCACTCACGCTCTGTCTGTCTGTCTCTCTTTCTCTCAAAAATAAACATTAAAAAAAAAAAACAAACCAGAAAAGCAGTCTGTTTTAATGGTATCCATGTCTTGGAATGTTGGTCAGAGACCTGGTTCCCCTTGTCATGAAAAGCTTTTTCTCTGGGTATTGTTATGTCTAAAGTTGATTTTTTTTTTGAAATTAAGTCAACACATTTACTAGGTTAGGCACCATGTTCCCTGTAGTGGAAGATATGAGGGAGGTATGGGTACTAAGTACAGGGTAGGTCAGTTATAGACATTATTTTATTTATTCTCAGCAATCTTGAAAGAGGAATTAATCCTAATTTATTGCTGATGGAATATGCTATGCTCTGGTTAGAAAGTAGTACAAGAAATTATTACATCCCAGGAATGACCAAATCCAAAGCCCCTGCTCTGTGGTAATGCCTTCAAACTTCTTTGCTCATATCGTCTTTAATACATTGTGAAAAATATGCTCTCCAATATGCACGTCTAAGTTGATAGCTAAAATTTTTAATCAAAATTTTAAATAGTCATAAAGATGCAATTTGACAGACTGCAACTATTTTCATTAAAAATTAACATCTAGATAATTCTCTTAAAAATGTCCGATTGAACCTAAATATCACAGTGATTTCATGCTCACAATAATTTATTTTTTTAATCATTTTTTTAATGTTTATTTTTGAGCGAGAGACAGACAGAGCATTAGCAGGGGAGGGACAGAGAAGGAGGCACAGAATCTGAAGCAGGCTCCAGGCTCTGAGCTACCAGCACAGAGCCTGACGTAGGGCTCAAACCCATGAACCATGAGATCATGGCCCGAGCCAGTGTCAGCTGCCCAACTGACTGAGCCACCTAGGCACCCCTACAATCATTTACTTTTTAAAAAGTACTCATTCTTTTTATGTTTAGGAATTCTATATAATACCTTTTTTATCCTAGACCTCTGAGTTTTGCTATACAACTTTCATAACATTTTATCTTAATGTAATATTCTATTTTTAGTATCTTTTATTGATCACCTTATTATAATTCCCTACAATAAATATGGGCATATAATTCAAAATTAATTTTTTAAATTTCTTATGAAAAGAATTATGTCTAATTACTAAGACATATCTTCATAATTAATTTGCCAATGCAATTTTTATTAGGTCTCATGTGGTCAGAACAATATAGACATGTTAAGAGGCTGATAAATAATTATTAAATATGACAAAATTGATCAGTCTTACATTTATAAATGAGAGAGATTAAACTTTCTCTTCTATCTATGGATGAATAATTAGAATTGTTAGAGAATCAGAGTTCAATCAAATCTGTTAGGTTTTGTTTTTATGAATGTAAAATCCTTTTCACATTTTTAAGTGGATGGGATGGGAGTATTAATATTACTCAATTTGTCTGAAGCTTTTATATAAATATGCCAAAAGTCACAAAAATTATTTTCAATAATATGTTATTGATTTTATTGGGTATTACATCAATTTTGTTGAAAGCAAAGAATTTAAAGCCAACTGACTTGCAAAACAAGTTGTTAAACAGTCACTAAAGTCACTCACCAATGTTTCTTTCAATCAAACTGACTTCATTTGATGCCTGGGATAGTTTTATTGGCTAGGGACACACTTCATTGCAAGATTCTGGATAATGTGAGAGGATCATAATCTGGGTGAAGTAGGAGAAAGGATTATGAAAGGAGAGTTGGGAATGAAGAATCAGCAAAATATGTTCTTTTTCAGATAAGGATTGGAAAAGAATCTACATAGAAGCTAAGGATCTGAAAGTATCAGCATCAGTAAAGGAAACTTGAACCCTTGGAATGTCTTTGTGTACCCTCTGGTGTGTTTATGCCCAACCTTGTGTGAAGACCACAGCTCCATACCACACTGTGGACTTGGCAGTCCAGTTAAAATGAATCAACAGGTAAGGTATTTAATTTCAGGGAAACAATAAAAATCTTAATAAAAGTAGGTCAAGTCCACAATAAACCGAATGTCACAATAGTTTCATAATTAATAACAATCGCACTGTATATATTTTTCGTTCAATATTTTGTTGGTAATGTTCATCCAAATACTGACATAACCGTATATTAGCCAGGATAAAGTATACAATTAAGTCAAATGTGGATTCTGAATATACTTTAAACACTCAGGTTTTTCAGTATATTTTAACCAGATAATGGGGCAAAGAGTAAGAAATTGGTGTCCTTTCAGGTTCTGACCTGAAGTTTGCTCTTACACGAAGGGCATAACTGAAATTAAGCAACAGTTAATCAGCAGGAATCCCTCTCCATGCTGCTTCTCACCTGTTCTTGCTGCCACCAACCTCCATGATCCCTTAAGCACACAAATTCTGTGAACCTCATCTGAGCCTGACAAAGATGTATCGAACACTCTCACAAGATCTTTGTTTCAAATTCATCTTGTACTTCTCATGCTTCATTTTGTTATTTTGTGTAGCAGGCACATAGAAGTGTATGGCTGTATTACCTATCTGGTAGATTATAACTCTTTGGTCAATATAAACAATCCTAGTGCCTCTGCATTATTTTTTCAATCTACTCTATTAATATTGCCACTTTTTTGCTCTATTTCTACAGCATTTTGCTTTAGATATATATTTCTTCTAGGCAAAATATTTTCTTTAAACCGAATCAGACAAAGTAGTTTCTTTTTCTGAGTGAATGTGAACGAATTATATTCATTGATATAACTGAGATACCTGTTGTCTTAGTTTTCTGTTGCCAAGTAAGGAATCACTGCAAACATAATGGCTTCAAGTAATACCAATATATGATCTCACAGTTTTGTGGGTTATAAATCCAGGCACAGAGAAGCTAGGTTCTCAGCTGGATCTTCATCTGAAGTTCAGAGTCCTCCTCCAAGATGATTCCAATTGTTGGCAGAATTCAGTTACTTGATAGAAACCTACTAGAGGGTCACTTACATACTCGCAGGTCCATGCCGTATGACTCTCTCCATCTTCAAAGCCAACAATGGAAAACTTCCTGTACATAAAATTTGTGTTCCAGAATTTGACTTTGTTTTTCAGGAAGCGGGCTCCCTGAACTTATGCTCACTTATGGTGGAGCCCAGTGAGGAACATCACTCTTTCTTAAGGTCACCTGTGCAAAGTAGCATTATCCAGGAATTGGAGTGACCATTCCATCATATTTACAAAGCCTGCCTACCCTCAACAGAGAGGATCATGCAGAAGTGTACGCCAAGGGGAAAGAATCTTGGGAGGGTATTAGAATTGTGCCAACCGTACTTGCCTTCCTTTTGTAATCTTATTTACAATTTATTTGAGCATTCTAACTTTTTTTCTAAAGGAATTTTTAAAAGACTTTTTAGAGAAGTTTGGGATTGGTAGCAAAATTGAGAGGATGGTATAGCGAATTTTCATAAAATCCCTCCCCCAACACATGCACAGCCTCCCTTATTATCAACATCTCTCCTAAGAGTGGTACTTTTAAAAAACCAAGGTTGAACCTAGAGGATTTTGTTTCATGAAGAAACCTGAAATTATGGACATAGTTTGGAAAATGAGCGTGGTGGTGAAAGGCATAGTTTTGAAGATATCACTTTGATTGAAATCCCAGCTCCTGTTCTTTGTGATTTGGGGCAAATTACTTCTCTTTGCACGTGTCTTGTCTCTAAAATGGAAATAATATTACCTATTCCCCAGGGCAATTTTAAAGATTAAGTGATTTAATATGCATAAGGAACACAATGTCCAGGAAAATAGAATTCAGGAAGTGTTAGCAATTAGTATTTCTCTTTCACAGTTACATGGAAGATATTTATTGTTTTAAATCTTCTAGATTTCATTCACACAGTGAAACTGTATTTCTCTAAATATATATCACATCTGATCCAATACAATCTCTAATGATGGATGTAGCAAGCATTTACTATTATGCATGTTCTAGCCTTTATTAATATTCTATTTTATGTCAGACCTGTATGATAAGTTAACAGAAGATTGAAGACAGTGAAGAGGTCTGATTTGTTGATCCATGTGGAAAGGTGATCCACAGGCAAAGGAACACAGGCTCTTTGGATGACTGAGGGCCAGATGTGTTCTAGAAAATAGAAACATGCCAGTGTGACTAGAAGTGAGCAAGGGGGGAATGGGTAAGAGATGACATTGGAGAGAGATCTTATTGGGCTGGATAACATAGGGTCTTGTAAACCATGGCAAGGACTTTGATTTTTACTCTGAGGAGGCTGGAAAGCCATGCGATGTTTTTAAGCAGAGGCATGCCATGACCTGCCTGTGGCTCCTGTGTAAAGAACAGACTGCATGGAAACAAAGGTGGAAGGAGAGAATCCATGTAGTTGAAGTGAATGATAATAGTGGCTTTGACTAGAGGGGCAATGATGGTAGTAATTAGATTATTCAGAATTATTAGATTATGGATATATGTTGAAGAAAAAGTTCAGAGTATTTGTTGTTGGTTGTTATGTAGTTATGAGGAAGTGAGAAAACTCAGTTGTGCTTCCAATGTTTTGATCTGAGCAACTGGAAAACATGGAATTGCCATTTTCAGAGATGTGGAACCTTGAGAAGAAAAGATACAGGAAAGATCAAGACCTCAGTTTTAAATATGTTAAAGACGCCTCTTAGTTATGCAGCTGGAGATGTTAAGTAAGCAATTTGAATATATTAATTTAGAATTTAGGAGTGTGGTTTGGCTTTGAGATATAAGTGATGAATCTTTCAAGAGATGAAGCATATTTGAAGTCTAAATTTGAGAACATTTAGGGGTCAGTTGTAGACCAAGATGTGAAGAGTACAGGGCAGAGCCCTGGGCATGCCAACATTGCCTACAGTGATACAAGAGGGAGAGAGAGAGAACGACTACAGAAGTTATTCTTTGAGTAGTCAGTAGCAGATGGCATCCGGTGAATGAGTAGAACACCTGATTTTAGAGAAGAGCATTGACAGTTCACTCATTGGAACCAGGGAGAAGACAGAGTGTATACTATTTGAGTATAAGAGTTCTGCCTGAGTTGATGTAATATGGACAGAGAACTTTTTTTTTCTGGTGTAAAATATTATCTTTTTATGCATAATAATTAGGATAATAATAGGCCTCTATTTTTTTAACAGGAACTGGAAGGAAATAAAAGGAGAGATAAAGCTTCCTCTTTGAGTGGAGAGGGTTGAGCAGTGGCTAGAAACTAATGGGAAGGGTCACAGGGAAGAAGCCATGACAAAAGCTGTACCACTGCCATAAAGCAAGAAGGCTGAGTGCACATATCATGGGTAGGACGTACTTCAAAACTTAAAAACAGCTCAACACTCCCCCCCCATAAAAGCCAAATGTCCAAAAGCATTTCAGATCATCATGTGTTTGTCTACAGTTATCATGTCATAACAAACAGATAGTAAACTCTGCACCTATGAAGTTAGATTAGAAATTATATATTTTATTATTAAATAGTATGGGTGATTATGTGTAAGTGTACTCTATCTTCATTCCTAATGTCCAAGAAGAGAGGTAGGATTTCCTGGAAAGGACGTATGCCTTTGGAAAATATCTTACCCATATTAGAGTAAAATTACTGACACTACACACCAAACAAAAATATCAATAATTATTTCTTTTTTTAATTTAAAAATTTTTAATATAATTTTTAATTTTTTTTTAAATTTATGTCCAAATTAGTTAGCATATAGTGCAACAATGATTTCAGAAGTAGATTCCTTAGTGCCCATTACCCATTTACCCTGTCCCCCCACCCACAACCTTTCCAGTAACCCTCAGTTTGTTCTCCATATTTATGAGTCTCTTCTGTTTTGTCACCCTCCCTGTTTTTATATTATTTTTGTTTCCTTTCCCTTATGTTCATCTATTTTGTCTCTTAAAGTCCTCATATGAGTGAAGTCATATGATTTTTGCTTTTCTCTGACTAATTTCACTTAGCTTAATACCCTCCAGTCCCATTCACATAGTTACAAATGGCAAGATTTCATTCTTTTTGATTGCCCAATAATACTCCACTGTGTGTGTGTGTGTGTGTGTGTGTGTGTGTGTGTGTGTGTGTATATACACCACATCTTCTTTATCCATTCATCCATCGATGGACATTTGGGCTCTTTCCATACTTTGGCTGTTGTTGATAGTGCTGCTATAAACATGGGGGTGCATGTGTCCCTTCGAAACAGCACACCTGTATCCTGTGGATAATGCCTAGTAGTGCAATTTCTGGGTTGTAGGGAAGTTCTATTTTTAGTTGTTTTTTTTTTTAATTTATATATGAAATTTATTGTCAAATTGGTTTCGATACAACACCCAGTGCTCATCCCAAAAGGTGCCCTCCTCAATACCCATCACCCACCCTCTCCTCCCTCCCACCCCCCATCAACCCTCAGTTTGCTCTCAGTTCTCAACAGTCTCTTATGCTTTGGCTCTCTCCCACTCTAACCTCTTTTTTCCTTCCCCTCCCCCATGGGTTCCTGTTAAGTTTCTCAGGATCCACATAAGAGTGAAACCATATGGTATCTGTCTTTCTCTGTATGGCTTATTTCACTTAGCATCACACTCTCCAGTTCCATCCACGTTGCTACAAAGGGCCATATTTCATTTTTTCTCATTGCCACGTAGTATTCCATTGTGTATATAAACCACAATTTCTTTATCCATTCATCAGTTGATGGACATTTAAGCTCTTTCCATAATTTGGCTATTGTTGAGAGTGCTGCTATGAACATTGGGGTACAAGTGCCCCTATGCATCAGTACTCCTGTGTCCCTTGGATAAATTCCTAGCAGTGCTATTGCTGGGTCATAGGGTAGGTCTATTTTTAATTTTCTGAGGAACCTCCACACTGCTTTCCAGAGCGGCTGCACCAATTTGCATTCCCACCAACAGTGCAAGAGGGTTCCCGTTTCTCCACATCCTCTCCAGCATC